TGTCACCCACTTTTCTGACAACCCCATGCATAAAAAAGTACATAATTTTTTCTTTCTTTCCCTCACAATGCCCCTCCCACTGACACGGAACACCCACCCCATCTAATCCATTCCACACCACTCAAATCATTTGAGCTGTGGTAACTTGATTGATTGGTTCAGAGTATGAGATAGCCAAGATTTGAGATAAACTCCATAAATGCATCCTTCAAAGGAAAATTGCAGCAAAAAAATCTTCATTTCCTGAAAAGAAAGTTCCAGTCTCATGGCTAAATTTCTTGAAACCAAAGAGTCTTATTTTCTTCTTCCAGCCCTCTTCTTCTTGCCTATACTTTTTGTCATAATCAAGAACTTAAAATCTTATTTCGTGTCAAGAAACAGCCCAAAACTTCCACCAGGGCCAAATCCATGGCCAATTTTAGGCAACATTCCACACATAGGACTTATGCCTCATGTTAGTCTAGCTAACTTAGCCAAAATCTATGGTCCTATAATGTGTCTAAAACTAGGAACTCAGTGTATGATTGTTGGATTATCACCAGAAGCTGCTATAGAAATTCTAAAGTTGAAGGATCGGATTTTTTCAGGTCGATATATTCCCAAGGCTGTTCCAGCTACAAAGGAAGAACTTAATCATTCGTCCCTTGGATGGACAGATTGCAATGATAATTGGAAGTCTTCACGTATATTATGTCGTGCTGAACTTTTCTCGAATAAGGCTTTAGATTCTCAAGCCAGATTGCGAGAGAAAAGTATAACTAGCCTTATCAAGTTTGTCGGATCAAAGGAAGGAAAGGAGATCAAAATTGCAGAACTAGTTTTTGCAACTGTGTTTAATATTTTGGGGAGTTCTATGATGTCGAGAGACTTTATTGGATTGGACGAAAAGAATTCGGATGGAGGGATGAAAGGCATTATAAGGGAATATGTGGACGCATTATCAGCTCCAAATTTGTCTGATTTCTATCCAATTCTCAGCAAGCTAGATCTTCAAGGTATTCGCAGGAAGGCAGCTGTTTTGATCGCGAAAATTTGTGCTGTATGGGGACCTATCATTGAAGAAAGACGAAATGGGAGGATTTACTCTTCGACGAGTCAAGATTTCTTGGACACCCTTCTTGACAACGGTTTTTCTTGTAATCGGATCAACCAGTTGTTTTCGGTCAGCTTTCTGTCTCATCCTTGCCTAATCCCCCACCCACCGCTCATGCACACACAAAGTTAGTTAGTCTGCTTAAACTTTCAAATAAGGTGGTTCAGCATCACGTCGGATAAACAAATATTCACTTTCACCCATTTATGAAAATTGTGCACATGTCAGTTCACAACAAGTGAGCAGTCCAAGACCAGTTTATGATCTTAGATTACAGGTCTATGTTCGTACTAGTTTGTTAGTTGAACTGATAGGGTCATTCTAACAAACAATCAGGATATGCTAGATTCAAATTTTATTTTTTTACAAACTAATGTTCTCTAGCATTTCTTGAGTTTTCTCATTCATTGCTATAAACTTTCACCATCCGCTGTTTTGGAAGAAAGAAAATGCAGTCATTCAAGAACAAAATTCTGTATTCTGTAAAAAGACACGTCTTTACATCATCATTCGACGGATCAGCTGCTTCAGAAAAAAATGGTTCCGTTATGTAATGTAAATTAGGAATAAGGAAAAAAAATTAAAGG